TGTTTTTTTCGGCTAAAAACGCCTTACTATACATTGTCGTTTTTTTCGGTTAAAAACGCCTTACTATACATGGTTGTTTTTTTCGGCTAAAAACGCCTTACTATACATTGTCGTTTTTTTCGGTTAAAAACGCCTTACTATACATGGTTGTTTTTTTCGGCTAAAAACGCCTTACTATACATTGTCGTTTTTTTCGGTTAAAAACGCCTTACTATACATGGTTGTTTTTTTCGGCTAAAAACGCCTTACTATACATGGTCGTTTTTTTCGGCTCAAAACACCTTACTATACATGGTCGTTTTTTTCGGCTCAAAATGAGCGTTTTTTTTTTTCGGCTGAAAACGCCTTACTATACATGGTCGTTTTTTTCGGCTCAAAACACCTTACTATACATGGTCGTTTTTTTCGGCTCAAAATGAGCGTTTTTTTTTTTCGGCTGAAAACGCCTTACTATACATGGTCGTTTTTTTCGGCTCAAAACGCCTTACTATACATGGTCGTTTTTTTCGGCTCAAAATGATCTTTTTTTTTCGGCTAAAAACGCCTTCCTATACATGGTCGTTTTTTTCGGCTCAAAATGATCTTTTTTTTTCGGCTAAAAACGCCTTACTATACATGGTCGTTTTTTGGGGCTAAAAACGCCTTACTATACATGGTCGTTTTTTTCGGCTCAAAACGCCTTACTATACATGGTCGTTTTTTTCGTCTCAAAATGATCTTTTTTTCGGCTAAAAACGCCTCACGATACGTGGTCGTTTTTTTCGGCTAAAAACGCCTTCCTATACATGGTCGTTTTTTTCGGCTCAAAATGCCTTACTATACATGGTCTTTTTTTCGGCTAAAAACGCCTTACTATTTATACATGATCGTTTTTTTCGGCTCAAAATGGTCGTTTTTTTTCGGCAAAAAACACCTCACCATGGTCGTTCATTTTGGGCTAAAACACCTTTTCTACTTGGACGACTGTCACTGGGAACTTGTTGGATTCTATCCCAGCTTTCGGTCATTGGAACTGACATTGATGCTGTCACTGGTCAAGGTTTGAACCCGCGCTTACTGGATGGAAAGCCAGCGTGTATACCTCAACACCACCAGTGACTGTGACTTGCTCTGCACGATACGCATATTTGACATGCTCTCTGGAGGGTTTGCAGGAAAAAGTTACTGTTGTATTTTCTCATATCACTGAGCGGGGTTTGAACCGGGGTTGCCTGGATGGAAAGTCTGCGTGTCTACCTCTAAACCACCAGTGACTGTGATCTGCTCTGCACAATAGGCGTATTTGACATGCACTCTGGAGGGTTTGCAGGAAAAAGTTACTGTTGTATTTTCTCATATCACTGAGCGGGGTTTGAACCAGGGTTGCCTGGACGGAAAGCCTGCGTGTATACCTCTAAACCACCAGTGACTGTGATCTGCTCTGCACGAGAGGCATATTTGACATGTACTCTGGAGGGTTTGCAAGAAAAAGTTACTGTTTGCTGTTGTATTTTCTCACATCACTGAGCGGGGTTTGAACCAGGGTTGCCTGGACGGAAAGCCTGCGTGTATACCTCTAAACCACCAGTGACTGTGATCTGCTCTGCACGAGAGGCATATTTGACATGTACTCTGGAGGGTTTGCAGGAAAACTGGTGTTGTATTTTCACACATCACTGAGCGGGGTTTGAAACCATAATAACTGTACATGGTCGTTTTTTTCGGCTGAAAACGCCTTACTATATACATGGCCGTTTTTTTCAGCTAAAAACGCCTTTCTATACATGGTCGTTTTTTTTCGGCTAAAAATGCCTTACTATACTGTACATGGTCGTTTTTTTCGATTAAAAACACCTTACTATACATGGTCGTTTTTTTTTTATGCAAAAAAACACCTTACGATACATGGTCGTTTTTTTTGACAAAAAACGCCTGACTATACATGGTCGTTTTTTTCGATTAAAAACCCCTTACTATACATGGTCGTTTTTTCGGCTAAAAACGCCTAACTATACTGTACATGGTCGTTTTTTTTGGCTAAAAACGCCTGACTATACATGGTCGTTTTTTTCGATTAAAAACCCCTTACTATACATGGTCGTTTTTTCGGCTAAAAACGCCTAACTATACTGTACATGGTCGTTTTTTTTGGCTAAAAACGCCTGACTATACATGGTCGTTTTTTTCGATTAAAAACCCCTTACTATACATGGTCGTTTTTTCGGCTAAAAACGCCTTCCTATACATGGCCGTTTTTTTTTCAGCTAAAAACGCCTAACTATACTGTACATGGTCGTTTTTTTTGGCTAAAAACGCCTTACTATACATGGTCGTTTTTTTTCGGCTAAAAACGCCTTACTGTACATGGCCGTTTTTTTCGGCTAAAAATGCCTTACTATACATGGTCGTTTTTTCGGCTAAAAACGCCTTACTATAC